GGCATTGTACCAATGGGTCAGTATGTGTCTCGGACCTGCTGGGAACTCAAGTGTCTGGAAGAGCCAAGAGGGCAAGCCTCTTGGGGTTCCCTGCTGGGTCCGTGGGCTACCAGCACATTGCTCGCTCACTCTTGGGGAGCAAAGCCTTGGGGCTGCACCAATGGGAGATGTTTTTCCCTTGGAGGCGCTGCTGTGAAGTCAAGTCTGGGTCTGCTCAAAATCACTCCTGATTCTGAGACTGGTTCAGGCGATCAGCTTCCATTGGGACACAAGCTTCTCCGCCCCCTCTTCTGAGGGGTAATGAACCTTGGCCTCAAGGCTCATTAAGCCCCATTATATAATCACCCCCCTCCCGAGTCTCTTTATGGCTCTCCCAGCCGCTTGCCCAGGAGATGCTATTCCACTTTATCACTCCACTGCTCCCTGCTGCCTCCTGCAACACATCAGCACTCCGACTCAGCCTCAAGGTATACAGGAGGCCAAGTTCTCAACCAAGGGTTGGCAGAAGAGGGGATGGGGACACCGGCGGAGATGAGGCCAAGTCACCTTGAGGAGGACAAAACATTCCGAGACTGCGTGGAGCTCCAGCTGGTGCTTTTGGAAGATGGGGACTTTACTGAGATGGGGACATCCTGGAACTATCCATTCCTTGTCCCCCTTCATAGTTGCCTTCCTTATATGCCCAACCCCACAGGCAGTTAATAAAGAAACATCTAGAAAACTGCAGGTGATGAAAGTCATGTCTCATTTCTCATCTTCAACCAAAGCCGGTCAGAATGACAGTGATGCCTGGGGCTTGAGTTTTAGGCCACTTTCTGCAGCTGCTTGTTCCCTACTGGGATGGCCACCATCTGGGACAATGCGTCCCTTGAATACTAACAGAACGTGGGTGCGGTAACAATGGCAAGCCAGAGCGGGTGCTGCATGCTAGTAGAGAGATGTCCCTGGAGCAAGGCTGTCACCCACAGTACAACTGGGCGAGGTCACCTGAGCCAGCTAAGTCCACTCCTGATAAACAAGTAGGTGTCAGTGACGACGGTGCTGCAGTGTCATAGCCAAACCTTGCAGAACACAAGATCTTCAACGACTTAAAATGTCATCTCCCTCCTAACCTTGTGACCTGGACAGTGACTAAAACTCTTTCAGGGATGGGCACACGATACTTGCATCTCCTATCAACGGCCCAAGTTCAAGGCCTTGCTTCACTCCTGATTACGGCCCCTTGTTTAAGCACACCCTGAGATGCAGCAGGCGATGGCTTAAGCAGCTGATCTCTGCTGCCCCTATGGAAACCGTGGATGGGGTTTCCAGCTCTTGGCTTCCGTATTGTACAGCCCTGGCTTGTGTGGACAATTCAAGAGTAAAGTAGAAGATTTCCATTTCTCTCTTTCACATGAGTCAAATAAGTAAATCTTTTTTAATTTAGAAAAAAAAAAAAACCCTCTCCCAGCCCATCTCTTCACCTGTGAAATGGCAGCAGTAATAGTATCATCTTAATGAGTAAGGAACAAAAGTGAACTCCTTGGTACCAGTCTTGGAACACTGTTGAAACACAAAGGCAATGCTGTTGCTTCCAGCATTGTCACAAGCTATTCCTTCACAGAATCCACAGCAACAGTTCCCAAAGCCTCCCTTGGTTGAGTCTCAGTGCTCTCAGCCACAAGCTCACACAAGGAAAAGTTGGCATCTCGTTACATTACATCCTTAGCAGGTGGGAAACACACTCAGGAGGAGCCCCATGACTTATCAACAAACTGTTCACTGCTATAAATCCAGAGTCATTTCCACTTAATGAATGATGATGAATAATTATCCCTCTAATCGTGACATTACCTCTTCATTTAGAGGACTTCATTTATGGGACTTGGGGTCAACCTGGCCTACGTCACTCTTACCAGGAGCCATAGATTCATAACTTGTTGGAGCAAAAATGGCCCAATGAGTAGACAACCCCCAGACAGACACCATGGGACAACATAATGCATACAAAGGCAGCATGGAAGAAATATGGACAGTCCCTAACTTACGCTGCTTCAGGATGGTAGGGGAATGAGACCTAGCACAACCAGCACTTGTTGGTGGAGTTTTCTCCAAAATCATTAGGCTAAAGCAGTCAAAAGACTGGCCTGGGGAAAGTTCTGGGTAGAATCACAGAGGTTCTGAGATAAGCGAGAGCCTCATGGAACCTCTCAGCAGGCTAAGGTTTAACGACGCTCAGAACACGCCCCATGGGCAAGAACACCTTGCTAAAATTCAAGTCCTAATCTAGGCAATGGGCATTCCACCACCTGCCACCCAGACTTCAGTGACTCTCCAAAGAGGCCAGGCAGCCAGTGCACCAGGCAGAAGAAGAGGCCTCCCAGATGCTGTGCTGTGGGCTGGTGAGGTGGCTCAGCAGTGAAGCCATGCATTCCAGACTGGAGCACTGGTTTGAAACCTTGCTGTGCTGCCTCTGATCCAGCTCCCTGCTAAGGCACCTGGGAGAGCAAAAGAAGATGACCCAAGTTGTTGGGTCCCTACCACCCACATAGGAAATGCAGACAGAGTCTTAGCTCCTGGCTTCAGCCTATACCAGCCCTGACTGTTGTGAGCAGTTGGAGAATGGACCAACAGATGAAAGATCTCTCTCTCTCTCTCTCTCTCTCTCTCTCTCTCACACACACACACACACACACACACACACACACACACTGGCCTTCCAATAAATAAATAAATCTTAGAAAAGAGATTTAGTGCTGGCACTGAGATGGCAGCCGAGCTCCATGCTGCCTGTGGTGAACCTGCTCTCCGCTTTGCTTCTGTGGCTTCTGTTGCTTGAGTCAGCAGAGGCAGGAAGTGGGCCACAGGGTTCCTCCCTGGGTTACACACTCACTCTCCCACTGAGACACAGCACTCTGCTCTGCTCTGAGAGATCAGAAAGCAAGCTTTCTGCCCACGAGACTTAGCACTGCCCAAGGGTGACAGTGTCCCCTGGGGCCTCTCTGTGCTGGAGGCTGCCCTGCCCACACAGGCAGAGGCTGTAGAGCCCTTGCTCTCGGGTGCAGACAGGGGAGGAAAGCTGGGAGTCATGGGGGATTCCTTACCTCCTTAGCAAGGAAGGGGACCCAAGGTGCACATCTGTGGGTTTGCTGGCTTTTTGATATTTTAAATTTTTATTTCTCAGAGAGTAGTTGAGGGGAGAGCGGTCCCATCTGCTCATTTGCTTCCTAAATGAGCACAGGGTTAGGGCTGAGCTGGGTCAACGCCAGGAGTCTAACCTCAATCTGAGTCTCCCACATGAATGCAAGAGACTCAATTCTCAGAGCCATCACTGCTGCCTGCCTTTGTTAACATTAGGAAGAAGCTGGCGTCAGGAGACAGAGCTGGGCTTCCAACAAACCCAGACATCCAGATGTGGGATGCAGGTGCCTCAATTGCGAGGCTAACAACCCACCCCAAGTCTAGGAAGGTTTTTTGTTTTTGTTTTTTAAGCAGGTAGGGGATGTTTCTACTTCAGCCAAAACTAAAGAGCAGAGCAGTGACCAAATCCCACAGGTGCCCATGCCAACACTCGTTCAGACGATGGCTAGGCCCAAAGACAGATGGTGGCTGCTTCGGCATCAGGCCAAGATAAATTTCAAGCACTCTTGGGGCTATGGGGAAGTATGGTAGGGGCAGGTAGGGGTGAAGCACAGGGCACTGAGCCGTGGCAGTCCAAAATGAATCACAAAGCCTGAGGCTTTGGACACAACTAGGGAAAGGACACAGAGTAAATGACATCATGACAGCCACCATGTACTAAGCGCTGACTGTATGCCTCGCATGAGCTCGGAGGCTCAGAGAGGTGCTTCTAACACAGCAGATACCAAACACATTGCCGGGAAGCAGCAGGGCTATTGCCCACCCGCCCCCGCCCCGTGCGGAGCCTGTCCCCAGCCATGACATCACCTCACAGTCACCACACATCTGGAGCTGTCACTGCCCCTTCCTGTTCTGGCTCTCCACATTGCCTTCCTCTTGGAGGACTTCTGGTCTCCGTGGTGCTGATGTCCCCCTGACAACTTAATAAACTGGCCTTCCGGTGTGCATACAGAGGTCATGGGTGCAGTTTTGGTCTGTTCCTGCAGAGGCTGCACGTCCTGGATCCAGGCCTCCTCTGGTCCAGATACTCAGCTATCTCCTACAGTGGACGTGCTGTACACACTTAGGGCTGAACCACATGGTACATGCTCAGCTTGACCGACCAGCTGGATGCTGGGCGTCCCCTGTGCCTTCCTCCAGGAAGGTCATAACTGGCTGTGGTTAAATTCTCAAGGGACACGGGCACTTCCTAAGCAATGCAGAGGCATTGGAGGGTGCACCTGAAACCCTCTTCCCACATCAAACATTCCCGAGCATCTGTCCATCAAAACAGCTACACAGCACGGACAGCCTGTGGCGGCAGGACAGGGTAGGGTGGTTTCTTCCACATGCTAGAGCCAAGCAATAAAGATGCTCTCTTAGCTAGCTGAAGGACCAGCCAGCAGAGCTGAATTCAGCAACCCTCCCTCCAAGCCCCCACCTCGCTGCCTGATCAGCGAAATGAGCCTCTGGACAGAGAAGATTAAACGCCTTCTAAGTCCTCAGCCCTTGATGGCCAGAAAGTTCCATTTCCACTCCGAGTAATAACCACTCTGTCTCCAGCAGCAATCCCTGACAACAGAAAGGAAAGCACTCGGGGCCACGCTCAGCCGGCTTGGAACCCAAATGCGTCTCTGAGATGTAAAGGTCACGGGGATTCACCTGAGTGACGGGGTGGGGGAAGGGAGAAATGCACAGTTTAATCCCAAATGCTTTCTCCACGGTGGCCAGGCAGCCATGGGAGTGGGGAGGAGGAGGAGCAGGAGGGTGGAGGCCTCCTCTGAAGAACTGACTGTGATCACAGAAGCTACAGCTGACACAGAGGGAAGCAGGTGCAAAAGCAGGGGACAGGGAGTGCGGTTCGCGGTCGGGGTGGCCAAGCTGGTGCATCCACGACTTACTTGCGGAGAAGTTGGCCTCGGTATGGACGGGAGGGGTGGAGGGCAGGAACGGCGCATGTCCCACGAAGAAGGAGCGCAGCGAGCGCTCGGACAGGAGCGGGGAGCGCTGCTGGGAGGGGATGTTCTCGCAGCTGCCCACGCTGCTGTGGATCTTCAGGTTCAAAGGTTTGCTCTTCTTCTTGGCTCTGGAAGGGAGACAGAGGAGAACAGAGAATGTACCCGTCGGTATGACAGAGTCAGAGCCGGGAGACCCAAGAGGCCCAAAACCCACAGCGAAAAGCTGAGCTTTCTGTGCAAGAGGCACGTGCTCTCACCCCCTCTGCAAAGGCTGCCCCACTGCACAGCAACCAGAAGACCCGCTCGGACCCATCCAGCTCCCTGGGACAAGCGCTAAAGAGCCAGATGCGACTCCAGTCTCCCAGCTGCATCTCTTCCTTCTGTCTGCTGAGATCCCCAAGCCCTGACCTGTGGCCCAAATGTCCTTGGTCTGCTTGACCAGGATAGCAAACCCCAGGCTGGGCACAGGTAGGTCTGGGACTCTGTGTCCAGGTGACATTCAACCCCTAAACCTCCCACTCCACTGCCCTTCTTCCACATGCAAACCATGAAAGCTGCAGAAGCTGAACTGATGACTTCCGAGAGAGAGAGAGGCTTAGTTCTTGGCAGAACTCAGCATCCTTTCTGTAAACTTTATTTTTTTTTTCATTTGAAGGAGAGAGAGTGAAAAAAAAAATCTATCTCCCATCCACTGGGGTCACTTCTCAAATGTAGGCAACAGACGGGCCAGGCCAGTCACCAAGACCTGCATCCAGGTCTCCTACACAGGCTTATAGGGACCCAAGCACTCAAACCAGCCTCACTGGCTTCCCGAGGACACAGCAGCAGGATGATGGAATGGAAGTACGAGCCACGATTCACAGTCAGACACTCGGATACAGGATGCAGGCAGCCCAACCACACGCTTTACCACCACATCAAGTGCCTGCCCCAACTGTTCCTCTTCGTCAGGACTTCTGGCGTCAGGCCCCTAAGGCAGAACCCCCTCCCAGACCTGACCCACAGCAGGCTCCAGATCCACCAAAGACGAGGAAGAAAGGGCACATCCGGTCTCAACCTCGGGCGCTGGTCCTGCCCTGCCTGCAGGTAACCTCTACCTTCTGCCTACATACAGCACCATGCACGCCTGGTGAAAACTGTGCCACCCGCCAGAGAACCAGGAACATAGCAAAGCTCAGGGGTCACTCCCGGAATAACAGCCCTGGGGTAGACGATTAGCCCAGTGGTTAGGATGCCTGTATTCCCACATCAGAGTGCCCGGGGGCAAGCCCTGGCCCCGGTTACAGACTCCAGCCACCTGCAAAGGCACACTGTGGAAGGCAGCACTGCTCTCGAAAGCCACGAGGCTCCTGCAGCTCACAATGTGAGACGTAGACTGAGTTCCTAGCTGCTCCGGCCTGGCGCAGTCCCAGCCACCACCGTAGGCTCTTGGGGAGGGAATGAGCCAATGAACGAAGGTAGCTTGCTCTTGGTCTGCCTCAAATCAGTAGATGTTATTTTTACAAGAGGAAAAGGTCTCAGTAGGATACTGCAACAATGAACAGGAGCAACTTTCTAGCACTAATATCCAATCAGAATTAAGTTTCTGACAACAACTGAGCATGTCCAAAGGACGGATGGCAGACACGGAAGGCAGAGAATGCTGATGTTGACAGAAATGGATCTAACACATCCTTGGCATTTCTTGTTCTAGAACTATCTTTTCCAGTAAAGTAATTACAAACTGGTCCCACCGGCACCTGAACCGTGGCTGGGCTAGACTGGTTTAAGCTGAGTAGGAAATAAAAAAAAAAAAATACAGGTATGTAAAAGACTTCTCCAATATTTTATGCACATTAAATGTTGCAATAAACTATTATTGAACTTTTTTATCATTAAAAAAAAAAGTGAGGGCTTAGCAGTTATTCATCCGGAGTTTTTCAAGATTCTTTTTGAGTTAGAACTTTTTTCTGGTCAGCTCTCAACCCACAGATAATTAGAAGACGAAGTTATTCCATTTCCTAGCAGATTCATTCCACTGAGAAAGGAGAAGAGCAGACAGCCCAGTGAGAGCATCCAGCCAGGTGCTGATAACACTTCGAGCTGGAACTAACCGAGGGCATCTCTGAACGGATAAGCATAAAACACGGACATTCAAACTTTCATGTTACCAAATAGGGTGCTTGGCCACACTCTCAGTAGCCAATAATGGCTGTGACAGTGGTGCTCCAATGTGGGTGTTGATCGCACCCTGGAGACTGCAGGGAGGCAGGGGCAGGGAAGGGGGTAAAGGGCTGATCTCAAGGGAGCTTCCCAGTAACCTCAGGAGAGGGAGGCTACGGGCCCAGCTCCGCAGAGGAGGACGTCAAGGGACCAGCAGGTAAAGGAGGTGCAGACGGCAGCCCAGGATCCATGTGTTCCCTGCACCCACATGACTCTCCATGTCCACTCTAAAGCCAGCTGTCTCCAGGAGCTCGATCTGGGGTGCTTTTCAGGCCAGGAGTCCTGCAGCGGTCAAGAATGGGGTTTGGACCCTTCCCCTTTGGGCTTCTCCATCTTTCCCCTTGGATCCCTTTACCAGAGCCACCCACAAATCTAACCCAGTTATTTCCATTTGCCTTTCTCTCCCTGGCCTTGAGCCCCACCTGCTTTGGTTTTAAAACAGATAAATGGTGGAAATGGAAGGAAGGGGTCGGGCAGGGAACCTGGAGAGCATGCACTGGCTGACCTCCCCCAAACAGCAAAGCTGCCCCTTAGAGACTATTCCTCCCTCCTCTGCCCTGGTCTGGCATTAGCCATTGTGGGTTGAGGGGACAAACAGAGAGGAAAATAGGAAAGAACAAAAGAGAGCGAGATAAAAAGATGGATGAAACAACTACATACTAACTTATCCTCACTGCTTAACTCCCCATCTCAAATACCCACCAGTGTGACCACGGGTTGAGCGCCCTCTTGTGGTCAACACAAAGCCATAGTGCAAATGTTCACAGACTAGCTGGAGAGCCCAGGAAAGTTCATGAACTGAACGCTGGGCCTCTCCCACAGCTCCCATTGGCTGATCTTTCCCTGCCCACTGCTGGAGAGAGGACGGCAGGTGTGTGGTTAGTGACAGAGACTGCAGAAAACTCTCACATCCAGGCAGGGTCATTGGGTGATTAAAGTCGCAGGTTTTGGGGTCCTGGAGGTGGCTCGATGGATGCCATGAAGAAGCATGGAATCACAAACAATGGAAAAGAAGAGCAGCAGCAGCAACAACAACAACAAAACAGAGTCAAGTCGATGGAGACCCTATATTGCTTTCATGGACAAGATAGAGGACTCACTCTCAGGACACTGGCATGCTCAGAATGAAAAAAACTAAAAAAAAAAAAAAAAAAAAAGCTAAGCACAGGAGACTGTGTTTAATCACCGTTCAGCAAGATTTAGTGGCTATTTTGTAGTATATTCTGCAGATGCAATTAAAAAGAACATCTTCTCCCATCATCTTTGCCAAACATCAGACATCTATTCCACAGATGTCATCTCTGGAAATTGGGCCAGTTCTGCAAAACGCAAAGCAAGGCGGCAGAACCATCAGAATGGTCACACCGGCAAGCCTGGCTCCCCAGCAAGGCAGGCTGCACGGACGGCGGCCCCAGAGCCGGGCTGGGCTGAGTCTGCACATCCACAGTACGCACAGGCACCCAGCTTGGGGTGGCCATCTGTTCCCAGGAAATGTGCTTATTCTGCCAAGAACACCCGAGGAATCGAGTACAGTGCTGGAATCTAGGAACATTCTTCCCACTTTCCTGACACCTGCCTGACATGGGCAGTCTAAGCCAAGAGTGCCCGGAGACTCCTTTCGTCATGTTTGCACCTGTTCACAGTACTCCATTCTCGTTCCCTCCTCTTGGTCCAAGCCACCTTCCTCACTGGACTCCTAGTCCCACTCTGTTCATTGGCTTTGCTCCTGATGACAAATTATAAATCAAGTGACTCAGTGGCATTCGATACACACACAACACTGTGCAACACCTGTCTACGTGGAAACAGCGTCCCAACTCCAGGAGCAAGCCCCTTACCCACTAAACGATCCCCCCCACCATTCCTCTTACCCTAGCAACCACTTTGTCTATTCTGAATATTTCATCTGGGTTAGATAACACGGCAACTCCTCACTCTGGCTTGTCTCTTTCAGCCCAGTGTGTCTGGGTTCCACACACGTTACAACCTGCCAATACATACCATTCCCTTCACTGCCACCGAATTGGAGGCCATTTTGAATTTTTTCACAATGGATTCTCCATAGCTCAAACGCTGTATTGTGTCCTAGCCTCTCTGTTAAAAACCCTCCAGGGCCCAGCACGATAGCATAGTGGTTAGGGTCTTCACCTTGCACGCGCCAGGATCACATATGGTCGCCAGTTCTAATCCTGGCGGCCGTGCTTCCCATCCAGTTCCCTGCCTGTGGCCTGGGAAAGCAATCGAGGATGGCCCAAAGCCTTGGGACCCTGCACCCGCGTGGGAGACCCAGAAGAGCTCCTGGCTCCTGGCTTCGGATTGGCTCAGCTTCAGCCATTGCACTCACTTGGGGAGTGAACCATCAGACAGAAGATCTTCCTCTCTGTCTCTCCTCTCTGTATATCTGACTTTGTAATAAAAATAAATAAATCTTAAAAAAAAAAAAACCCTCCAAATGCCTTCCTTTTGCTGGTCTCTGGGAGCTTCCTACCACTGTCCTCCACCACCCTCCAACCTCCTGCGTCAGCTCCTGGTCACTCTGATTCTAGGCCACAGTGAGTTCTCAGTGGACTGGATTACACTGAGTTCTCAGCCACCTCAGGGCCACTGCACACGCTGTGCCCACAGCCTGGGGTGTTATTTTCTCACCTGTCATTGGAGACCTGCTCATTATTCTTTAAGCTGAGGAAGGCTCATCACTTCCCAAGAGACACCATCCTCAACTCTCAGAACGCAGCAGATCTGGCAACACCTGCTTATAACGCAACCTGCTTTTCCTTCATAGCATGCATCCCAACTGGAATATTGCACCCACTTATGTGGTCCCTGGAGAAATGAAAATTCCCAACTGGGAGGGCCTGCATGTCAGGACATGACACAAAGTGACACTCGCTAAGGGCAGGGCTGCCTGGGCTTCCTCCAGCTAGGG